TAAATAGGACGAGGAAAGATGGACCAGGCTGCTGGGTGTGGAGCCACCGGTCCACAGCCCAGGCCGGAGTCCAGGGCATGTTGGCAGGGACCGCCGCCGCCCCCAGGCCGCCAGCCCTGCTCACAGCCGCCCCGCCCACGGTCACGGCAGTCCCCAGGCCGCCTAGGGCCACGGCAGGTCCCGATGGAGATGGGGACCCGACCAGTGACGGTTCTGAGAGGCTGAGAGGCCCCTCCCTGACGCTCCGATCTCCAGAAAAGCTCCCGAGCACAGTGCGGTCCACTTCCCAGTGACCCAGCCTGGGGTCCGCAGGGGCGACTGCGCCGGTGCATTTGTGTCCCACGCTGCCTTTTGCAGAGCAAGGAACTGGAAGTCACAGAAATGAAGGAACGTTCCGGAACCGCTTCAGGGCCCTCACGGCTCCTGCAGTTCTCACTTCCGATATTTTGATGTGACGTCACTGGTGTGAGAGCTTTGTCTTCCAGGGGCGTGGAGCCCTTGGCGATTACAAAGAACCTCCCTGAAGGTCTCATATGATGCTTTTGGCCTTGCTTTAAACTCTGAAATTAAGTGCTGGTTGTTAGAGTGACTTACTAAAGGTCACAGGGAGGCTGGGGTGTTTCCTCTTGTTGAAGTTTTTAAAAAATATATTTAAAAGAAGAAGAAGGGGGGTGCAACTCTGGATCTCAGGGTCATGAGTTCGAGCCCACACTGGGCATAGAGATGACTTAAAGTCAATAAATAAAATTTAAAAGAAGAAGAGGAGGAAATACCGAAACAGGATAAAGGAATCGTAGACGAAACCATACAGTCGCTATTTGCAAAGTGACGGTGGTCTTTCAACCCTGTCCGTCTGTGCCTCCCCCTTACACCTGATTTTGGGGAAAGCATCAAAGCCCAGAAGAAGCTCTGAGGTCAGTTTCGGAGATGCACACAGACATCCTCAAAATGTGATCCCGAGTTCAAGATTAGCCTCTTAATTTCATAAATAAAATGCAGTCTGTTGGATTTGAAAGGGACATAGGATTTTTTTTTTTTCTCTTGAGCAGAGGTTTTGTGAAGTAGAATCAAGGCCACTGAGTATTTTTTGCACTGCATTTCTCCAGAAGTTGGTTGCAGATGCAGGGAGGGTTCGAGGCTCCCTTGTTCTGGACGAAGGCTCTTTGGAGCTCCGGGGCTGGGAGGGGGGCTGGCCATGCCCGGGGGGCTGCACCCTCCCTGGGGCCCGAGCTGGGGAGCGCTGGTGCGTGGTCCAATGCTCTACTATTACCATCTTGAAATTCTTTATTTTGAACAAGGGGCCCTGAAAATTATGCAGCTGGTCCCACTGAGAGGCTTCGTGACTCAGAATTTGCCATGTCTTCCCTCATGGGCTGGAAATGGTACCGGTGTGTGTGTGGTGACCCCACTGAGCATCGTTGTGAATTTGTTTGCTGCCTCTGTGGACGGCACTGGTTTTCTGGCTCTGACTCTGTCCAGCTCCAGCCACTCCCGCCGGTCTCCATGCGGCTCGGGACACACCCTCCTTTCTGTTGCACGGACCCCCCAGTCATTGGATGTAGGGCCCACTCTAACCCAGTGCCGGCTCACCTGCAAATTCCCTATTTCCAAATAAGGGTGCATTCACAGGTGGGGGGGTGTGGGGGGGTGGGACTTGAACATAGATTTTGGGGGGGACACAATTCAACCCACTACACTAGCCTAGCTGGAGCTCCTCTCCCAAGCCTTTCCGGACCTGCTGCCCCGCCCCCCGGCTGGAGGCCCGCCCCTCCTTTGTGGGGTGATGACCGCTGGGTCTGTCGGCCTCCTCTATGCCCCGGGCCGCGCCGAGGTTTGATGGGCCTGCGGTAAGTGAATCAGTGAAGTGTGTTTGGTGGGAGCGCACGGAGTTGTCTCCACAGCCAAATGCAATCATCTGGAAGAAATCTGTTGCACTGGGTTGACCCGTGTACCCTCCCCAAATTCTCGTCCACCTGGAACCTTGCAATGTGACGGTCCTTGGAGACGGGGTCTTTGCAGATGATGTTCGTTAGGATGAGGTCATGCTGGGGGGGGGGGCTGCATCCAGGGGCTGGGGTCCCTACAGGAAGAGCACGGGCACTGGGAGACACAGAGGGGCCTGGTGGCAACGAGGCAGAGACATGAGATGATGCTCCCAGCCAAGGGGCGCCGAGGAACCCCGGGAGCCAGCCACCGGAGCTGCAGGAGGCGGGGAGGGTCCTCCCCCGGAGCCTCCCGAGGGCGAGAGCATAAATCCTGTGGCTGCGAGCCACGCGGTTCCTGGTCCTTCGCCCCAGCAGCCCCCCAAAGCTGCGGCACCCACTCTCTCTGGGAACCAGGGGCCCCTGGGTGGGAGTGTGCAAGCCTGAGGCCCCGGAAACGGGAAGGGGCCTGGGGTGCCCGTGCTGGCGGGTGCAGGGGACCCCTCCGGTGCGCGCGCGGGGGAGCCGCCCACCCTCCCAGCGCTTGCGGGTCAGAATGCGTGGCTTCTTCTTCAAGAACTGCCTTACTCTCCCCTACCCGCCCCACCGAGACCTAGGGGTGTTTGCGGGCCCGCAGGGTGGGGTGGGGCCGCCCGCCTCCTTGAAGACCAGGCGCCCGTGGCATGGGGCCTGCGCCCTCGGTGGGGGCTCAGGTGTGGTGTCTGTCCCACCTTCCACCTTTTTGGGGGCGCAATGCCCGCTGGGCCTCTGGACTGGGGAGACAAAGTGTGCCTGACTTGGGGGCACCCCTGCCTCCCCGCTACGCCAGCTCTGCGTGGGGCGCAGCCCCCGCTTCGCGCCCCGCTTGGCTTTGGGGGCGAGCATGGTGTGGGTTTGGCAAATGTATCCTGTCGTGTATCCACCAGGACCGCATCCTGCGGGGCCGCGGTCACTGCCCTAAAGTCCCCGTGTGCCCAGCCCCTCGTCCTTCCGCCCTTCCCCGGCCCCCTGATCTGTTCGCGGTCTCCTGGGGGTGCCTCTTCCAGAACCCCAGGCCTGGGATCCCCGCGCAGCCTTCTCCCACTGGCCTCTGCCACCTAATTCCTGCCCCTGGCGGCTTCAGGGGCGTGGCTCTTGAGGGCTTGTGAGGCCGCTGTACCCCCCGGGAGTCCAGCCGCCCCCCATCTGCAGGTATTTAACTCTGCGCCCCTGCGAGATTCCTGACTCCATGGGAGGTGATGCAGCCACAGGCTCTGGGGAGGAGGGTGTGGACGTCCTTGGGGGTCACGCTCTTGACCTCACAGCCTGTACCCAGACCTGCCCGCTGGATGACGTCGTGTCCGGGGAAGCAAGCCGCCAGCCCCTTGGGTGCTTGGGGCTCCCGGAGAGTCCGCCAGGTCACTGCACTGAGGGGGGGTGTGTGCAGCAGAGCCCTCACCTGCTGAGCGGGATTCCTGCTCGAATGGATCCCGTGTGCTTATCCATCCACCTGTTGGTGAGCACCTGGGATGCTTCCAGGTTTGGGGCATTATGAGAAAAGCTGCTCTGAACATTCCTCCCGAGAGCTTTTGTGGACGCGGGTTTGATTCCTCTCCGGTGAAGGAGCAGAGCCGCCAGGCCTCTCCCCGGGGTGGCCCTAGCCTGTCATGGTCAGCAGCCGCTCGGAGGGGCCAGGCCACTCCGCATCCCCGGCAACGCCTGCCTCACCTTTCAGCCGCTCGGGTGTGTGTGTTTTTCTTTTTGTGCTAAAATGCACAATGCACAATTCATAAAATGCACACAGAATTCACCATCGTAACTGTCTCTAAGTGCACAGCTCAGTGGCGTGAAGCACACTCACCCGGTCCTGCAGCCAGCCCCACCCTCCGTCTCCAGAATGTTCCATCTCCCCACACGGAGACTCTGTGTGAAGGACGGACTCCCCACCCGCTGCCCCAGCCCCGGCTCCCACCCTCTCCTCTCTGTCTGTGTGGACGGGACTCCTCTGGGGACCTCCTGGGAGTGGGGTCCTGCGGGATGTGTCCTTCTGGGTCCGGCTCCTCTCACTGAGCCCGGTGTCGTCGGGGTCCCTCCGAGTCGTGGCAGGCATCGGGGTCCCTTCCTTCCTGAGGCTGGAGCGTGTTCCCGCGTGGGGACGGACCGCGCCGTGTGTACCCCTCATCTGCTAATGGACCCTTCTGGGTGTTGTGAATCGTGCAGCCGTGTGCACGTGCGGGTGTGTTCCAGCCCCTGCTTTCTGCTCTGCTGTGTGCACACCCAGACGTGGGGTTGCTGCTGCATCAGGTGGTAATTCTATGTTTGGGTTTTTGAACTGACTTCTGACCTTATGCTTTTTGATAAAAAGAGGATAATTTTTATGTAGCTGAATCTATAAATGTTTTACACAAAGTTCTCTGCTGGGAGGTCAGAATCTCTCATGGACAGATTTGTTATTAAAGTTGAACTCTCTCCACAGTCTGGTCTGAGTCGGGACCATGACTCACTCGGCACCTCCCCTGGGGCCTCTGGTGGCCCCTGGATGACTGGACGGCAGGGGGTACCAGGCCCCAGGCGCTCTAAGGCCTGAGAGCTGGGCACTTTCCCGTGGGCCGTGCCAGACGGAGGCAATCCTGAACCGTGGGGCACGGGGCTCAGGCGCGCTGACCCTCACACAGCGCAGCCCAAAGTTTTCTTTTTGAATTTATTTGAGAGAGCAAGCGAGCACAAGCAGGGGGAGGGGCAGAGGCAGAGAGAGAAGCAGGCTCCCCACTGAGCAAGGAGCTGACTCGGGGCTCGATCCCAGGACCCGGGAATCATGACCTGAGCCGAAGGCAGACGCTTCACCAATTGAGCCACCCAGGCGTCCCTCCCGGAGGTTTTCTAACTGCAAACTGGAAAGCCCGCAGAAGCTGAGGGCCGCTGTGTGGGGCTGCCTGAAGCCACGTTCCGTCTGTGGAGCCCCCTCCCAGCAGCAAGGGGCGCGTGCACATGCGTGGGGGGCAGCCCGTCAACCCCGGCGCCCAGCCCACCTTCCCGCCCAACCCCACCCCCTGCAGGCGGTGGGCACAGAGAGAGGACCAGGGAGCCTTTGTACGGGGATTAGTCACTCTGTATTAACAATTCCACACAATATTAAAACACTGCAAGAAAGTGGGTGTGGCACACCTGGATTTTTTTTTTTTTTTTTTTTTTAAAAACAGAAATAAAAGCCACTGAACATCCAAACGGAGATGGGGTAGAACCTGCTAGGACCACGGCTGGCTTCTGCGAACCGGAGCGGGTCTTTGCAATGTTTGGCAATGGTTTCCACGGACAGAGAAGGAAGAGGGCGGAGTGTCCGACCTATGGCTTTTCTGGAGGCTCCGTGGCAGGCTGGCTTTTTGTAAGTGTTCTTGGAGGACCAGAGCGACCTTTGGTGGCCTCACCTTGGCCCGGAAACTGCCCCCTGGTCCCTCGCCCTCGGGGCGGGTGGACAGCCTTTCCTGCCCCGGGAGCTCGGTGGGGCCCTGGCCGTGCAGAGATGGATGAGCTGCCTGGAGGCCCAGCGCCCGGACACGGTGGCCGGAGTCACAGGAAGAAGGGCAGCACCTTCCGCCGCCCGCGGTTCACATCCACCAGGCCAGAGGTCACCCCCCAGTCACTTTATTCTTGGCCTGGGGGTCACCTGAGGGGAGGGGTGCACATTCTAGCTCCTTCCTGGAGTGGGGGAGGGGAGGGGAGGCGCCCCGGCTGCCAGCCCCCTGGGGACACCCAGACTCTGTGTTTTGGGGGCGGTGCCCTTCATGTTCGCCCGCCACGAGGTGGCCGAGAGACGCGGGTTTCCCCCAGGCCCGCGCTGCCGCCTCCATCAGCTCCTGCACACACCGTGCACACAAGGTTTTCATGCGGGATGCGCACAGGGAAAGCACGGGCGCTCGGGGTCTACACTACGGACACGGACACTTACTCTAGAAGGAAAAAAGGAGCGTTTCTTCCTCAGCTAGAAAGACACCCACGGTGGGGCTTCTGCTGACGGCCGCCTCCCGGGGTCGAGGGCCCTGGCGGCCCCTAGGGGAGGCAGCGGGCAGGTGTGGCTTTGGGGTGGAGGCGCGCCCATCCTCACCCTCTCTAAGCCTAGTTTACCCACACCCCTCGGCCCCCAGGGCTCTGACTTGAGTTCGAGTTCACTTCAGGGCTTGGGGGGGGGCGCGCCGCCGGCTGGGCCCAGAGCGGGCCATGGGGCTGCCCGACTCCGTTGAACCGCACTGCCCTGAGCTGGGCTCTTGGGGGGTGGGGGTGGGGACACATGGTGGGGCTGGGCGTGGCACAGCCGGCAGGGCAGGGGGGCACCGAGACCAGGGCCCCCCGTCCTCGCTGGGGACCTGCGGCCCGGGGACCGGGGGGGGGGGGGGGTGGTTGCAGGGGGAAGGATGGGCTCCAGGGATTAAGGCTTCTTCACAGAAGTGGCCCGGACCGGCTTTGCTCTGCCGACAGCCTCCCGAGTCTCAGGGCGGATCCCGCCGTGCCCTGGCCTCCCCCCTGCAAACAGCTTTTGTTCTGTCTTGCTGTCGGCTGGGGACAGTGAGAGGCTGGTTCCCGCCCAGTGAAAGGTGTGGCCAGGACACTGGGCCCTCGTGGCTCCCCCGTCCAACGGCAGGTTTGGAGAAGCTGGGCTCCCCAAAGCCCCTGGTGCTCCCGGACCGGCCGGAGAGAGCTGGGAGCGGGGAGCAAGGCTGGACCCTACAGCCTGCGCCCTGGGGGAGCCAGCCACACGGGGACGTCACCTGCCGCATGGGGACGCATCCCCCCCATCCCCAAACCTTGGCGCTGGTGCGATCTGGGCCTTGGCACTCGCAGGGGCTCGGGGCCGGGGGGAGGTTTGGCACGAGGTCCCGGCCCCTGGCTGTAAGATGGGGGGTTGGCACGAGGCCCCGGCCCCTCCTCCTGGTGGAGGACGCAGGGGCGCGGGGCAGGGGTGGGGCGGGTGGGGGACGGGTGTGCGGGCCCTCCCTCTACCTCCTGCTCCTTTAGCTGTGCAGGTCGTCACAGGGGCCAAGCGATTAAAGAAAAGCCACGGGAGGGAAGTGCGAGTGGGTTAGGCCTCTCACCCGCGGAGGCCCTGCAGCTGCTTCCGGGAACTTGACGCCTTCTGACCCGCGAGGCAGGGGCCTCGGCAGGCCGCACTCCTGCTTGCAAAACGGCCACGGCGATGCGCAAAAGTGGAAAACAAAACAAGACGCAACACAACCGCCCAGAAGAGCCCAGTACGACCACAGCGCCGAACCGCCCACACGGCCGCTCGTGCCCACGACAGGCCGGCACCCAGCTGGCCGTGCCCGCGGGCAGGGCAGGCTGCGGGGAATCCGCCTCCGTCAGGGGTGGGCTCCCAGGGAAGGGCAGGGGGCTGTGGCGCGCCTGCTGGGTGACGCGTGGCCATGCGGGCCGCGCTGCCCAGGCAGAGCCCCCCTCCCGGCCCCTAACCTCCGTGGGTGCATTCCACACGACGTGCAGCTGTGGGCTCAGCCACCGAGCTCTGGGCTCCGCCGTGTGGAGTAACAGCGGCTTAAGCAAGGAGGAGACATGTTTCCGAAACGGTCCGCTGGACCCTCCCCGCACCCCCCAATTCTAGTCGGCTCAGGAGAGAAGAGACAGTAAACGCACGGCAGCATGGGCCCGGCCCCAGTCTTTCCACAGACGGCCAATGGTGTGAGGCTTGCCACCCGCCCGGACGCCCGGGGCAGCGGCCACGTCACCCGCCTCCTTCCGGCAGCAGGCCCGGCCCGGCCAGCTCTGGCCCGCTACCCCGACGGCAGCCGAGAGCTTCCGGAAGCCGTGAGCGCATCACTTGGGCATTGCTGCTACTCCTGATGGGAAGCGGCCCGGCACCCCCCGGCGTCTTCCGGCCGGGCCCGGAGGGGACGCCGCTGTTGGGCTCGAAAATCCACCTAAACCTGGAGGACACATTTTACCCCATCCATGGTGGCGGCTGTTCGCCTTTCTTTGGGAACTGAACGTTTTGGGACTTGAGATGTTCTGCTTGACTGCGTAGTGGGTGATGCCCTAGCTGGGGGAGACAGAGCGGGGGACGCACAGAAAACACGGCTACAGAATGATACAAGGCTTCTTGTCCTTAAAGGGGTTCTCAGAGGCGGGGACTCCCACCAGCAGGGGGTCGTTCCGGGCGTGCTGCTCACAGTAGCTCATGAGTTCTGACGAGGCTTTGGACACCTGCGTGCGGGCACAAGGACGAGAGAGGAGAGATCAGACGGGCCGCCACGCACACGTCCCCTGCAGCCAAGGCAGGAGCAACCCCGTGTGCACCCACCGGGATGGAGACACCAGACGTGTCCCCCACGCATGGGAATGTGATCGGCCGCGAGCAGGAGAGGCACCCACACGCGTGGCCCCGGGGACGGACCCCGAGCCCACGACGCTCAGGGAGGGAACCAGACACAGAAGGCCACACGGGGTGTGCGTCCACGTGGGTGACACGTCCGGAACGGGCTCCTCCGCGGACGGGAAGGGGGCTCGGGGGCCGGGGCTGGGGGGGAGGGGGAGGTGACTGCTGATGGGGACAGGCTCCTTTCGGGCTGATGGAATGTTTCGGAACCAGATAGAGGCAGTGGTTGCACAACACCAAGGTGCTATCATGCTGCTAAGTTTTATGTTAGGTGTGTTTTACCACAATTTAAAGAAGGTTAAAGAAGGGACTGAGTCTCCTTCAGCAGGAGTTACCCAGATTTTGGACAAAAGGGAGAGATGGAGCCCTCTTGAGGATTCAGACCAAGACTCCATTCCCACCCAAGACAGGAGGGCACAGGAAGAACCGTCCGAACGTCGGAGGGGCCCCACACAAGCTCCGGTGCATTTCTTCGCTGGGCCCCTGAGCCGGCCGGGGCCAGTGACGTGGGCGAGGGGGCAGACACCTGGGGCTACCTGCATCAGGGTCCCCAGGAGAGGAGGGGGAGATGCAGGGAGGAGCCACTCAGCCCCTGGGAAAGCTCGCGGGGGGGGGAGGGGGTGCTTCATCACAGCAGGGGTATGGCCCAGCCCTGCACCCCACCCTCCAGGGTGTGCATCTGGGGGTGTGGTGGGCACCATCTCACTCCACTTCCCCAGGGCCGGGCTGAGGCCTGGGCGCTTGGGTTCAGGGGTCCTGGGCCTGGGTGAAGGGGTCCCTGGGTCTCCTCCCTGCGGCGGGAACTGTCAGAGGAGCTCGGCCCCCTGCTTGCCCACCGGCGAGGTGACAAGAGGAGCGGCCGAGTGGGCGCGAGAGGGTAGGACAGGCAGGGCTGCGAATTCCCCTGGGCTCTGTGGTCTGCAGCCCTGCACCCCTGACAGCCAAGGCCGCCTGACCTTGTCCCCAGTGCTGCCCAGTCTGCAGGCTGGCCTCTGGGTTCATCCTGGGGACACTCCTACCCACAGACACTGACAATTGCCACTGTCCTGAGCACTTGGCCGCTCCCAGGGCCGCACTGGCTGAGCCCGTTGGTTTCTAGAGTTGTATTTGGAAAGCAACCCTCCAAAACGACAAAAATAGCCTCCGGACCCTGGAAATAACTGACGCGGTGGCTCGGGCATGTGGTCCCCCGCTCATGCCCCCCGCGTCAACAGGAGGGCTCCGCCCAGAGGCCGGGCCCCCCCATGCCCGCCTTGCTGCTGCTTGCCAGGCCCTGGCCCTGCTGGCTTTTCAGATGTGCCGATGTTTGTGGTTCTGGTCGTTGTCTTCGGCTTGGGGACAAAAAGCCTCAGGCGGGACTGGAGTGGGGAGGGTGGGTCCCGTCCCGCTCCCCTCCTCCCTACGACGTTCAAAGGGGTGGCAGGACTGCTCCAGCACATCAAACGGGGGCCGGGATGAATCATGCTCTCCGCCGGGGCTGGGGCCAAACCGGCTCCCTAAAGTCAAACCATGTCAACTGAGGCCTTCAAGCCTTTCTCTTTCTTCAGCCCGAAGGAATGCTTTGAATGCTCGGGGTTCTGGAACATTCAGACACCTCGCGGGAGCCGCCCCCCCGCCCACCTGGGGGGCTGCAGGAGCCCTCCTACCCGCCCGCTGGGCTGGAGACACACTGCTTCCCACTCTGTCCACTGCAGGGCTGTCAGTCAGGTGTCAGTCTGTCCGGGCGCTGGGCCGCCCCTGCTGGTGAATTCCCGCACCCAGCAGGGACCGCGGAGTGGCAGGTGCTCAGAAGATCAGTCTGAACAACTCCACAAGGTGGGTGTTTGATTTTATATGTCCACTTGGCCAGGTCATGGTGCCCAAATATTTGGCCAAACACCAGTCTAGATGTCACTGGGAAGGTCATTCTTATATGAGATTAACATTTAAATGGGTTGATGTGGAGCAGAGAGCGGACCCTCTACATGTGGGTAGGCCACATGCCATCAGTTGAAGGCCTTCACAGGAGAGGAAGTCTGCCTCCAGGGGGCCTGGGGGACTCGAGCTGCAGCGTCAACCCTGGCCTGGGTCTCCAGTCTGCCCTGTGGATTTCGGACTTGTCAGCCCCCATGGTCTGTGAGCCAGGTCCTTAAAATACCTCTGGCTCTACACACGTCCTCCCGGCTCTGCTTTTCTGCAGAGCCCTGACTGGTCCCAGGGGCAGCTGGAGCGGGGCCAGGGCAGACGTGGAAACCCCCCCGGGTCTTCTCTAGGGAGACCCCTGGCCACCGGCTGGCTGGGGCCCGTGGCGGGAGACCACTGGCTGGAGCTGCCTCGACGTCCTTCGCCAGGAGGGCACGGGTGTGATGACAAGGTGTTCGTACCTTCCTCACAAGGGCGCCACAGCCGGGCCACTGGCCCTTTTCAGGAAGACCAAGTCTGTAGAGCTGATGGCCCAGCCAGGCACTAGCTTTGTTTTGGGTCTCTGGTCCCTGATGGGTTAAGTGTCTGTGAGCAGGAACGGCTTGTCCTTTTTCTTTTTTTAGCATAAAAAGCAAACACACTTATTTCAAAAAATCCAAACAATGCAGAAGTGAAGAAAGTAGCCGGCAGGGAGCCCTGGGTCCTCCCTTCTCTGGACCACATCTCTAACTTCTGTCTGCATCTGTCTGGGGGCCAGACGGAGCCCCGCTGAGCAGCGGGAGGACCCCGAGGGCTGGGGGTGGGCTCGGCCCTCCTCTGTTCCCATCGCAGTGACAAAGCTGGGGCACACGGGTGGTCACAAGAGCCCACGACAGGTTTTGTATCAGCTGGGTCTCTCCGTTGAGGCAACGGAGGCTCAGAGAGGTTAGGGAGTGGCCCAAGGTCGCACAGCAAGGGGCACAGCTGGAATGCAGCCCCTGCTATGGGGCAGGCCTCCCGTGCAAGGGGTCTCCTCCCTACTCGGCCGGCCGCACAGCTCACCTTGATGCGCTCTATGCCGGCTTCGATGCGGAGCTGCTCCACCAGCTTCCGGGCCTGGGCTATGTTGTTAGTGGCTGACATTGTCTGCCATCAGCTCTGGGCCCCTGTTGTCCAGAGAGCTGTGGGGGGAAGCAGAAGGGTGTGAGCTGGCTCGTGAAGCCCTGGCCCTGCGGCCGGAGGACGCCCCTCCCAGAAGCCTCCACCTGAGCCCCGGTACTCATGTGCCCGGGGTCGAGGTGGGGGCGGTGGGAGGCCCAGCCGAGCCGCCTCCCACGGTCCCCCCGGTGCTGGTGGGGGGTAAGTGCTCCCCAGAAGTGACCACCAAGCCTTTCAGGACAGTTCACCAAACCACAGCATCGACGCAGGGATGACTCAGAACGAGGGACTCATGGGGCACTTTCTCTGATCCCGGCCCTGCTCTGTGCCCCCCAGCACCACTGACCCTGGGCAGGCTCACTGTCTGGGGGCGTCCTGGGCACATCCCTGGCCTCCACTCTTCGATGCCAGGATGTCCCAGTTGTGACGGCCACAGATGTGTCCAGACATGGCCCGAGTCCCCTGGGGCAGAGTCGTCTGGGTTAGACCCTGGCTCTGGACCACAGCAGGTCACCCGGGAGGCACTGTGTGCTGTGGGTCCTGGGTCTGGCCTCCCTTCCTTCATCCGTGTGCTCATTTGCCCTGGAGGATGGCCCACCACGTGCCGGGTGCTGCCCTGAGAACACCCCGCTAAACGCGGCTGAGTGCAGGGGGAAGCCCCTGGTTCCTGTCCGTGTGGGTGCCTGCCTCCGACTTCCCACCCCAGGCCCGGCTGTGACCTGGGCCCCCACAGCAGGCTGCCCGGGCAGCGGTGCTGGCTCTTACTTCTGGCACGGGAGAGGCTTCTGGGGATGGGAGGGGGAATTTATGTCACCAGTTGGAAAAAGGAGCCCACTTGGTTTTGCAGGGTTTTCCAGAGCTTTCTGATGTGCTGGAGCGGTCGGGACAAATGACCACAGACCAGGGTGCTGAACACAGCAGGAATTTGTTGTCCCACATTCTGGAGGTCAGAGGTCTGAGATCCAGGGGTGGGCAGGGCCGGGCTCCCCCTGTGAGGGCCCAGGGAGGGTCCTTCCTCCCTCCTCCAGCAGCTGGTGTGGCCACATCACTCGATCTCTGCCTGGTCCTCACAGGGCCTTCTTATAAGGACACCCTCATCCATGACCACCTCTCTTCCTAACTACTTGCATCTGTAAAGACCCTATTTGCAGTTAAGGTCCCATTCTGAGGTTCTGGTGGACATGAATTTGGGGGGGACACTATTCACCCTGCTACGCTTTCCTTGAGTGTGGGTGGAGTGCTCCGAGTAACCCACTCAGGGCAGGTAATGATTGCAGATAAACCCTCTTCCTGAACCCCGAGTAGCCCTTCCACGAATTCTCCGAGGACTGCTGCTCAGTGTGTGTGTGGGGGGTACTTGCTGCTTCAGTGACCAGATAGCACCCAGCGGTCTGCTCGCGCCCCCCACACCTTCAGGAAGTGGGTGTCACGCCTTAGCGGTTCAGGGCGGGTCAGAGGGCCTCCCCACCTGCTCGCCCAGCGAGAAGACCAATCCTTTACCGCACCAATGATCCCAGCTTTGCTAGTGTTTGAGGGTGACCTATTTTCTTTCCCACATATTTTTATTGATTTGTTTTTTAGAAACTTTAAATTTTTGAGATGCCTGTTGATTCACATGCAGTTGTAGGAAATGACAGAGCCTGTGAGCCCCTTGCCCGCTTTCCCCCACGAAGACGTCTTGCAGAACCGCAGTGGCATCACAGCTGGGAGGCCCCCGACAGGCACAGAGGACATGGGGTGTCTCTCCTGCCCCAACCCGCCCTCAGCCCCGGCGACCCCCGATGTGGTTTCCTTCTCCAAACTTCCGTCACTTCAGGCCCGGTGTGTAAGTGGAGCTGTGCGGCTGTAAGGTTGCGGGCTGGCTTCCCCCCGCGGGGCCCGGTCCTCTGGAGACGCACCCAGGCTGCCGCGCGCATGGCTAGCTCCCTGCCGAGCGGCGGTCCCCTGCGGAAGGTGAATCTGGCCGGATTCCCGTTTTTGGCCGTCACGGTCACAGCCGCCACAAATCGTGGGCAGACTCTTGTGCAAACACAAGGCTTTATTTCTCCGAGATAAACGCCGAAGATGTAACTGCGTGTTCAATTCTCAGAGAAGATGCCAAGCTGTTTTCCAGAGCGGCGGCACCGCTTACATTCACACCAGCGGTGTATGAGCGCTGTTACTGTGTTTTTACAATTCAGCTGTGCACAGATCTTCCTGTTCCTGAAGGCCGTGAAAATCCTACTTTCCCCACAGCCTTTGTTTAGGGAGCATAGCGCTGCTAACGGCTGCTCGCGCCCCCCAAGGACGCCGGGCCATGTCTGGGACGTCTGTGGTCACCACGACCAGGGGAGCTCCCGGTACCGAGGGGTGCGGGCCAGGGTGCTGCTCAGCCCCCACCGTGCCCGGGACCCCCCAGAGGACGACCCGCCCGGGTGTCTTCAGCGTCCAGGCTGAGGAAGCTCCCAGGAGGACCCGCTCGGGCGTCCGTGCCGACACAGAGCCCAAGGTCAGGAGTCTGGGAAGATGCTTAGCCGGGTGACGAGCAGCACCCTGTGCTCTGTCACGATGCAGTGGGCACTGCCCGCTCGGGGGTCACCAGACCCAGGAGCTGCACAAAAGTAAAGGTTTCAGCCTGCCTGCCTCCCTCCCTTCCTTCCTTCCTCCTTCCCTCCCTCCTTCCTTCCTCCTTCCCTCCTTCCTCCCTTCCTCCCTCCCTCCCTTCCTCCCTTCCTTTCAGTTTTAATTATTTACTTAAGTGATCTCTACACCCAGTGTGGGGTTCGAACCCATGACCCCGAGATCAAGGGTCACATGCTCTTCCGACTGAGCCAGCCAGGCGCCCCAGATTTCAGATTTTCAAAACATTTTCTACTTAGCAATAATAATAATAAAAAAATGGGCCATTGATACACACACCACCTTGGGTGCATCTCCAGGCAGTTATGTTGAGTGAAAAAAGCCAATCCCCAAAGATTACGAGACGTGCATTTCCATTTATAGAACATTTCTGAGATGAGAGGATTGTCAGGATGGAGGATAGATTCCCTGTTCTGGGGGTGGAGGCGGGTAGGCCTGGGCAGGAGGGGGCTCCTTGTGGCGCTGGAAACATGGACTACCTTGGGGGGGCAGTGGGTTCCCGCCCCTGCACGTGCGATAACCTTGCACTGAATCACACACACGCACATGCACACACACACACGCACACACGCGAGACCACGGCAACAGAACGAGGTAGGTGGGCGGTACCCGCACTGACACCCTGCTTGTGATAGTGGCCATACTTCCACAAAATGCTACCGTGGCGGACACAGAGCGAATGATACATGGACTTTCTCTCTGATTTATTTTAACTGCATGTGAATCTAAAGTGACCTCCATAAAAGTCTCAGAAAAAAGATCATTCCACACGGCCTGGCTCCCTGTCCCTTCCGGCAGACATCCAGCCCCCTTTTGGGTCAGAAAAGGCCTGAGTGTGTCTGTTCTGGGAGCACAGAGCCCACGTGTGGGTTTCCAGAGGGCTCTGATTCAGCAGAGAGCTTCAAAGCAGCCACAAAACATCCAACTCAGGGAAAACTGCCCTTGGTTGGGCTTACAAATACCTAAATTACTCAGCGCTAAATATAGATGCGTACGGAGAACAAACGGGCTGGCCCCATGGCCTGTTTTCCTTGGAAGGCCAGGGAGTCCTGCCTGGCATCCACACTCAGAAGTGTCCACCGGGACCCTAGGACCCCTGCCCCCCTGGGGCCACCCCCAACTGTGGCCTCCCTCCGAAGCACGAAGCCCCTAAGTGTGGCTGGCTTCCTGTTCCAGGCACAATGTCCCCAAAGGCTCCCTCTGGGCTGGGTTATCACCCCAGCCCCAGAGGACGGCCAGGGATGGCTGCATGGGGTGTGTGTGTGCATGCACATGAGTGTGTGTGTACTTATGTGCATGTGTGTGAACATGTGTGTGTGACTGTGGGTATGTGAGTGTGCGGGTGAGCGGGTGCACACGTACGTGTCTGTGTACAGACGTGTGCATTACACCTGCATACGTGTGCACGGACGTGTGAACAGACGTGCGTGTGAGTGAGCGTGCTGAGACGCTGGGACCAGACACCGGTTGCGTCACCGCAGTGCATGCAGCAGACTCAAGCCCCATCCCGGTGGGTGCCATAGCCAGTCACTGACTCATGACCCAGCCGTGGCCCGGGATTAGGCCAGCTCCAGCAGAACAGGCAGGGGCGCTGAGTCAGCCTAGGGAACATTCCTCACTGGTTGCTGCTCCACAAGAAGCATGTGACGGCGCCAGGCGCCCGACCTGGCCAGACCTGCCGGGCCCAGCAGAGCCTCACCGGCCCCAGGAGCCCGGCACAGCCTTGGCAAGCTGGGGGACAGGAGGGAGCGGGCGGGGGCAGTCTGTCCCGGCCCTGACTCCAGGTCCTGCTGCCGCCGAGGCGCCAAGGGGCACGGCTCGGGGGACATCACCCGCCTCCGCCTGGCCTCTGGGTAAAGGGCCAGGAAGCCATGCCGAGCATAAGGGGCTCCTGCACGAGATCCTCACGTGGGTGTGTGTGACAGGCAAGGACAATGGAGGTCCCCCGCCCTGTGGTACATTGTGAGGCTGTGGTCATCATTAAGAGAGGGCAGTCACCCCCAGATGGAACAGGTCTGCCCTCACACACGAGGCTCCAGCACACACAGGGTCAAACACACCACGGGGAGGGGCAGGACGTCTTCCACGGTGGGCTGTGGACGCGGCAACACGGGGAAACGGTCAGAATGGGGTCTCTCCCGCCCGGCACTGCCGACACAGGGCTGGCTCGTTCTCTGGGGGGCGCTGTGGGGGCTGAGCGGCGTCCCTGGCCCACCCCTCCGTGCCAGGAGCACCCCCAGTCCTCATGGCCACAGACGTCCAGACATCGCCCGGCGTCCCTGGGGGGCAGAGCTGCCCTGCGTGAGAACCACTGGATTAGATCAGACCTTTATTCCACACCCGAAGAGATTCCATATAAAGAGCCACAGAATAAGGAAGAAAATAGAAATAAATCAGTAAAGAT